AAAGAAAACTAGCCCCCTTGCAAACAGATACTACTGGTAGTACATATTCTAGTATGTTGCTTAGTCTGCTTTTAAATTTTCCTCTTGAGTGAGTTTAGATTCCTTACCTAGATACTAGTGCGATGATCTTACGTATGCTTTAGATTTTCCCAACTTTCAATTTTATAGGGAGCAGTCCTGCATAGGAAAAAGCAGTTCTGACTGAGGGTTACACAGTATTTTCTGCCAGTCTTTGCAGAAAATGCTTACAGATTTAAAACATCTTCAAAGTACAGTTTTGAAAAAAGCAACAAAAGGTGATGTGTTTCTCCTGTGCAATATTCTTTCATTTAAAATTGTAAGTAAATTAATGTACTGAGAGCTCCTCTCTCCTCTTCTGCTTTACAGAATGGACAATATACAGTCTGACAGCACTGCTCATCCTAAGTGTAACAGCCATCATAGCAAAGATATTTCTCCACGTAACCATGAGGTGAGTATGCAGCAAAACTGTCCCTGGACTACTGACATCTCAGCTCTGTACCAAACCTAGTACACTTCATTTCTCTGCCTTCTGATACTGAGATTAGTCATATTCAAAACCAAGTCATATATTATATATTTATACGTTTGTAAAAGATACTAAATAAGCACATTTTTAAACTTTCCAGTCTGCAACTATAGCATATGCTGCTAGAATATCTGTTTTGGTCTTATTTTGACAAGGTTTGGATTTTAAGGAATAAAAAGGTTTCTCATACTTAGTGATGTTATATAGCAAAGAGGAAAATATAATCAGACAACTGACATTGGCAGGAAGAGGTCTAATTATGATAATACTTTACAGAAAAAAATTACAACCTCATCCCAAATCACAGAACTGGGAAAAAAGTTAGATATAGGCTAGTTAATATTTACTTTCTTTTACTGAAATATTGAAAACTGTTCAAAAAAATAATCACAAAAAATTAAAATCTGTGTTGTGGTGTGACATTTAACCAGTATAATTGGGGGAGGGGGGTTGCCTATTAAAACCAACATGATTTTATTACTATATTTGTCTACAATGACACCAAGTACATTTTGTGCCTGCTAGATGAACACTAATTGAATGAAATGATGGGTGAGTTATCAACAAAACATAAATGTTGAATATTGTATTTACATAACACAGACAGGCTTACATAGACAAGGAAATTAATTACATTTAATAGAAATTAGGGTAGGCATTCTATTGCTAGAATAGTTGCTAACTTTTTATTTGGTCAGGAAACAACCCACAAACACTCCAAAAACCTATACAATTGTGCAGCAGGCAGAAAGAAAGGGTGTCACAGATGTAGTGGAAGCTCCTACCATTACCAGTGTAGCAGTAATGCAGACATACTAGTAATAGCAGCTTCCTAAACACCTTAGTACTTGCAGTGAATTAACACTTGTTTCCTAGATCACATCAGATGCCACCTACAACTGAAACAGAAGATTCCAGTGAGGCTACTACTGCTGGTGAGATCTGGAGTATATTTTACCAGCCATCCACATCAATCTCCATCTTCAAGAAAAAGCTTCGAAGTCAACAAGATGATTGCAACCCACTAGTGGGAAACTGAAGTGTCTTCTATTTTACAAGAATCAATCTTCTTAAAATCCAGGTGACTTGGGAATAATCCTTTTTTTCCCCCCCTCCCAATCTCGTACTTGTTTTCCAAAAAGGCAATTATTTCCAAAGACCTTTGAGTGACTTTGCCTATCTGCTGTTTTCTTGGGTACTCTAATGACAACAGATTTAACTGCAGCAATAGTTTTGAAATGTCTGGTGCTCATCAAATTTGCAGGGCCGCTAATTACTGCCCTTAAATCAATGCACTTAAAAGACATGTAAAAACCTATAAAATTCAAAATGCCCTGCCAGACATAGTTGAATTAATTTCTGCAGGTTGAGGCCTTCTTGTGTCCTACTTTCCTCTACCACAGTATTATATCAGGCTACTTTATTCTCAAGGCTGAAGATGGAGGTGGATACTGATACCCTGTTCAGCTGCCACAGCAACCCGAGCTTATTGTAACCATTTCTAAACGGTACTATACAGTAAAACAGGAGTCAAAGACATTGAGAAACTATCAGCCTGGCTGCCCAGTGCTCTGCTGCTTTTACATTTTCTGTTTCTAGAAGCAGAGGTGTACAAATAAAATAAAATAAATCAAATTCAGGAGGCAAACACTCCATGGAATTTCAGCTGCAAATATGAGTTTTGATGGAGTAATGCTCACCAGGTCAAGATCTGCACTTAATGAAGAGGAATGAAGACTTTTAAATTACTATGTCTGACTCATTCACCGATGATCATTAGAATTTTGTTCATATTCACAATGATTCTTTATAAAACTATTGCATTGCAGTCTGATTCATTCTGGATGTAAGCTTAGGGCTTCCTAAAGGATTGTCCAAAGACACTGAACTTTTACACAGTGAGGCTAACTAACACAGAATCTTACTCTGGAGTTAAAGATTTGATCTCAGCAGCCTAAACTATTTACAAAGCTATAGCCTGCTGTCAACAACTCACCTATGCCAGGCTGTGCATCTGAACACACAGCGTAACAGTTGCCTTAATACTTAGCTGCGATAAGAAGTGTCTCCTTGCCTGCAAAATTAAAACTGAACTGCATTTCTAAGATAAATACCCTTAATTGCCAAAAAACTAAAACATCAGTGGGGTTCTTGATTCTGAAATATTTTTTATTTGATTGCAACAGACAGCATTAACTATTTTTTCTCTTTGGTAGAGTATCTGTCCACCCACAATGCCCTGAGTTTTCATCCCACCACTGGGGATCAACAGTAAGTCTTTCAGGCTCGTTAAGTTGACACCAGCAAGCAATTTAGGGAAAACAGACAATACAGAAGTCAGAAAAATGAACTGGAAAAGTTTACTGAGTAAGAAAGTCCTCAAACTAAGTTAAGAGGAAAACAGTGAGAGTAATTAAATTACAGTAATTCTGCTTAAGAGAAAAGAAATAAATATTAAACATATACCAATGGTCTGTGTATACCAGACTCGCAGAGAACAACTATTAAATGCATCTGCAAAAGACAACTAAGAAGATTAATAAAATTGTCACTGAGTTTAAACTCATTGTAAGCATCTGCCCTTCTCTTTTAGCAGACAACTACCTCCCCTTGATGTCTATAGATTTCCTTGAAAAAGTAGGGCATTTAAGAATTGAACAATGAAATACTGTGTCTTACTTGCCATTGTAGATCTAGATTTTTACCTGAATTTAATTAATTCCAGCTCCATTTATGTACCACAGATGAGTGCCAGAGACAGCTGAACACCACCACAACAAATGATTTAGAGAAACAAGACTTTACTTAGCCAGCAATTATGGAATTGTTTATATAAAAAATTGAATATCATGGGAACATCTAGTACTTCCTTGCATGATCTGCTGGAAAGAATACAGGAAAGGATAATTACAATATTGCCTAAAATCAAGACAGGACACGCTGCAAAATATGCTGATTATCTCTTACGTATCATCAGGTTGGACCAAAATACATTATCTGCTTCAAATCAACAAAAAATTTTAAATTGCCTTTTTAAGTTTTGCATGCTGCTGTGTAGGGATTTATCTCACAGTTTTGTAGCAAAACAAATTAGTTTGCTTCTTAAGCCTGCTTAATATGATTCACTAATGTAAATCAGGAGGAGAGAGTCAAAGTGTAAAGCTAGATCCTTAAGTTATGAGCACATTGTGAAGCTCGGCTTGCTTGCTCTATCAAATGATCTTGAGCAGTTAAACTATACAGTCAAAGGGATATTCATAAAGCAATTTGTTAATGCTGACAAGCTGAAAAAACATCATGAGCATCCCATGACTGATTTCTACCTACTTCTGAAGGAAAAAATTTACAAAACTGTTAAGCTTCTCTTCTTCAGTAAATTATTTAATTTCACTATAAAATTAGAGAAAGCCCATGACAACAACAAAAAAAGATTGATGCTACTAATGCAAAATCTAGACAATTTAGAAACAAAGATTTTGTATCAGTCCCTTGGTGCCTCAACTATTTTTTAAATAAAATTTTATTTCATTAGGGTTGCTTAGGGTATGTTTATCCAAACACTTCTGTGCAAAACACAAATAAAAACAGCAGTTATAGCACATTAACTGGCCATGGCAACAATAAACAACTAATATAAGGTATTGGACAGTATTAAAAGTGTACAGAAAATTGTTCTGTTCCCCCCCCAAAATGTTTCAGACTGTCTGATTCTAGGTATCTCTAATACTAAGAAACAGAGCAATTGATAGAAATGCATGAGCAAGGTCCCTTAAATAGCACTTCTTACTCTACAGGCCTGAGACCATAAAGAGCAGGTAGATCTCTGCTGTGGAATTTTTCAAAATGTGGTATGGTCACTCGTACTGCTAGCACAAACACTTCAGTGGTATGGTGGCATATGGTCAGCATATATGGTATCCATTAATATAGCACTTAATGATCTTTGCTGTAAGGGTTTTGGGAGATAGAATGGTCTGACGTGCACAACTGTTGTAATCCTACATGAATCGGCACATAGAAACCCCCCTAGGACACTAGCAGCTGAGTGCTGACAGCTGGAGGGCACAAAAGCTCAGGATGTTAGTGTTTACAGCATTTTCTTCAACAAATTGAAAATAACTGCAGGAGAATTTGTTCTGAATTGTATCTGAAGAGCCTTCTTGATCTCCTACCTAGCAGTTTGCTCAACATGCTGGACAGGCTGCAAATGTGACACTGGCCACAATTTCAAAAGCAACTGCTTTGACAACAAAACATCATGAGGAGCTGCCTCCTCACAGACTTGCATTCCAGCCCCTGATCTGGGCCCCTCCTCGCTCTGTTATGTTGGTATGACCGGCTGTGTGGTGGTGCAATAAACTGATCAGGTTAAAAATTACCATTGCTTTTTCTTCCCTGAGTTACTTCTAACAGATGAGTGCTCTGATCTTGTTTATTGGGTAGCTGCAGAGAATGGTGAGCTAACACAGCTGAGTGGACAATAAGCCACAGAAAAAAGACAGTTGTCTCCCAGAAGCAGGGGCAGTAAGTACTTCTGCTGATACTGCCACCAGAGCAATTTGTGAGACTGCCTCGGTGCAGCAGTCAGGTACAGCAGCCTACACTGTGTGCAGACCTCAGGTGGAAGAGGGCATGCTGAACAAGTGGCCTCCCTAATTCAAAATCTACATTTAAAACTAGTTTAGTTTGTTGACTACATGATCTTATATGTACTTTTGTCTTAATATTATTTTGTTTGGGGGAAATAGAAACTGTGATATTTAAAAATGTGATATATTATCATAGTAATATATATTTATATATGTATAGGAAATGCATTATTTAATACAGCATATTATGCTTGTATCCTGCTAACCTTTTATAGGAAGAAAATGTTAGTTTAAACTCTGGGAAAAATAAATTTTTCATACACTGTGACCGTAGAAAAAAAAACCCAAGATAATTCATTGGTATACATGATAGAAGAACACTGAGAGGGTAACTTGGACTCAGTTTTGTGGCAGAATGGATACTGATGAAACAACTGCTTTAAGATGCACTTTCCTCGTTTGAGTCTCATTTCTAGCTTGTAATTGTATTAGGCAGTTCATCAGGTCCTGCAAATTCATGTGCCTGTACTCTCGGGACTATTTTAACATCTACCATGTCAGCTGCTTTTTCAATCAAGTGTTAGAATCTCCTTTCTTAGGGCTTGTTTCTGCCAGATTTTCTACAGCCGGTACAATGTTGAGGTTTATCACATTGCTCACACAGACAACTCAGTGGTACTGCAGAATTATAGTCTATATTCCAGGCTCCCCTGGCAATAGTATAAATGGGAGATTTTTACTCATAGCCCTGGAAACTGTACTGAATCTGCAGCCTGAACAACTACAGGCCAAACACATCAGCAGACACTTTGGCTGCCACTGAATGAGCATGACTAACTATTCCAATTTAATCTTCTGCTTAATAAGCCATCTCAGGCACTGGGAAGGATTGCCAACAGATTTTTCTAGTGCAGAACTTTGCCTAAAGGAATGGTGAACTATGAAAACAACTCCTGACAAATACCTGTCCAACTAGTTCTTACTACCTTACAGCAATGATATTTCACAATCTTCCAATGAAATATAGTCCAGTGACAGTTTCACTTGAATATTAATCTAGACATTTGCAAACAACGTTATCATTCTGCTACCTTGAGATCTAGAGTGAAAAATACAATTTTAGACCATATAGTTTATTCTATAACAACACATCCCCCCAGCACACACACATTTCATGCAACTCATACCGTCTCAATTTTATTGAGCACCTGTGCTTTGGGATTAAATTTGGCACTTTGAATTGCAGTCTCAAGAAAACTTACTGTAAATCCAAAGGCTATCATGTGAACCAAAAAAGACTGACAAGGAAAAAGAATAAATCAAATCTGAAATGACTCACCACTGAAATACATGCTGTGTTTATATGTGGTCCTCCTGCATTCAGCAAATGGCTGTAAGTAATAATTATTAAAAAATTAATGCAATTAATTTCTGCAGGAGCACTTCAGTT